TGGAAAAAATCAGTAGCAGTAAAAAAAAAAATATTTTTTATTACAAGTAGATTTTTTTTACTGCTCTTTTCCTTTATTGTTCGCCTGATCTCACTTGATTTGTGAATGATGCCATAGACTGTGTGTGGCGAAACCGGCCTCGCCACGTGTCCTTGGAGGGGGCTGCTTGCCCGCCTCTTGCCTTTGGACTATGGACCAGACTTTATGTGAATGTGTTAACCCAGATAGCTATGCCATGGAGCCCATTCGTGTAGTTAAAGACTTCGGCTCCATGGCAATTGAATGGTGTGAATAGGATCTGAGCGCTATTCGGTAGTTTTGTGCGCTCAGATCCCAGCTATCTGGGGATATGTGAAATGTCTGTGTCTCTTGTGTCTGTCCTGGGAGATAATTGAATTACTTCTCAATTCAATCTCCAGGATAGAAGACTCTGAAACTGGTTTGGGCCGGAAAGCCATGCTTCATTTAGTCACAAAGGACTTTCCCTTAACTTTTGAACCCCTGGTCTGATTCGTGCCATTTTTTAATATGTTGTTCCCCTGAATGGATTGATTATGAAAATGTATGTTTTATGTTTGTGACATGTATATTTTAGAAGTTATAAATATTGTGTAAAAACTGTATTCCTCTGCCGGTGATAATGAGATTACCCATTGTGTTCAGTAAGCATATCACATGCAGAGGGGAGGATTTTGTGTGGGAGTGTCTGGGTGTATTGTACGGATTGATTGGTTGTTTTGTAACGCCCTGTGGGCTGTACTATGTTTGTGGATTGGGAATAAAAGAGACTGTATGTGACAGTACAGAGAGTTCCTGTTTAACCCTCAAAGTTAAGTGTCGTCTCATTATTGGGGGAAGGATTCATTGTATGCTGTTCCAGTCTGACTGCTAGGAGAGTAAACCTATTCGTATGGTTCCTATTCAACTGTCTACAGTATTCATATGCTTGAGAGAAGGTATACGCTTCTCTGGTTCGGTGATTGTGATGTCTGCTGCAGTGCTTGGAGTCCTCAGGAAGTGCTAGGAGCATCCTTCAACGGAGGTAGCCAGTCGTGGTGCCAGGTGATCCGTTACACTGTGCACCTAGTATCTATTTAATTTGTTTACTCAGTATTGCAGTGTTGCAGAAATCCAAAGAACTGCTACTCTCCCAAAATTCGGTCGAATTGCAATTAGTTTGAATATGAATGCACAAGTCTAGTAGGCACCATAACCACCTCAATGGATTAAAATAATTATGATGCATGGAGTCCTTCGGTTCTGGGTCCCACATCCCTACTAAACAGTCTACATACCATTTAGTAGAGATTATTTAACCCCAGCAGCCTGAAGCTTGGCAATGATGATATGGTAGAGCTATGCTTGTGCCTCGCATCATACCAGTTCATACCAGGGATTGGGATAGTGATTATCTAAGAACTGTCAGCTGATGATCTCAATCACTGATAGCCTCACCATATAATCATCATTAGGGGCCATGCAACAAGCTGCTGGGGACCAAGGAGCTCTACTAAATGGTGAGTAAGCTGTTTGGTACTGATGTGTGACTAGGTGCCTGGTAATTCCAGGCACCATAACTACTTCAATTCATTTTTTGAGTGTTCCTTTAAACAATATTTCCATTTCTTCTCCTCCTTTGCAATGTTTGCTCTGGCTTTGCCTTGTCTGAACTGGATCATAATGTAATTAGTTCATCTCTTTATATATATAAATTTAAAAGAAAACGGAATGTCTTAAAGGTTTTACAACAATTATTAATAATGTTTTATTCAGTGGTGTAAAATCCAGAGAACAGTTATCCTTTATGTTTTTGATTTAGAAAAAGATCTTAAATATAAGCCTGGATGTTCTGATATAATGTCAATACACCTCAAATCACTGTTTAGTACAAGGTGCATTGATTAGACAGGCACGCTGCTTTAAAAACTAAATCAGACAGCTGGATAAAGGTAGAATTGGTTGATATGACAATACCTGAATCATTCACTCATAGCCCCCTGTCTCTACACACTAAAATATAAGCTAGTGTGTTTACTGTATTTATTGGAAGGGATCATATCTTTGTGTGAAATATTCATTATACTGTACACACAGCATAATATTTGCAAAAACATATATGAATATTTATGAATATTTTCTCTGTGTGCTATGCAAAACTGTTTATGTTGGTGCAAGCTGATCTGATGCAGATGAAGTAGATGATTAAGAATGATTGGCATTGTTGACACCTGTTGCAGACTTTAGTTTTGCAAACTAATAAACTCGCTTTGACTAAAGTGGAATAAAAAATAGCTGACCAGCATATGAGTTTCCTTATAAATCTTTGCATACAGAAAGAAAAACAAAAAAAACAGAAGATGTTAAAAACAAAAATAAATATTTACTTCAGCTAACACCTCCATTTAAAACAAACATATAATATTCTTTCAAACCTTTGGAACATACATTTCAGTATCTTACAAAAAATATAAATAATTTAACCCCTTAAGGACCAAACTTCTGGAATAAAAGGGAATCATGACATGTCACACATGTCATGTGTCCTTAAGGGGTTAAACCTGCATAAAGTGGTAATTATGTGCACCAACACTGAGATTTAATATGTACTATATGCTGCTAAAATAGTCTCTATCTCTTTGAAATGTAAGAACTGATATTGCATTTTTGTTGTTGTTGCTGTAAGGCCCCTGTATGTGTGTGCATTGGTGTGTGCTGTATGAATAGCATATAGTGTACACATTGTAGTGCTGCTTTTTTATGCGGGGAAGTTGGATCCCACTACTTTAAAGAAAAAAGAGATTACTGATACTGGAAGAGAGACGATAAGAAGAAACATCATGAAACATTTAAAGGGACACTCCAGGCACCATTGTAATATTTAGTATTATATATTATAGCTTTTGAAGGGATTTTTTAAGCATTAAAACTACTAATGCCCACACTATAACCTGGCACTGTTCTCTTGCAAGCGGACACACTCTTTTGAAATAGTGAGTCAATTACCAGTGTCCTGCTAGGTGCAGAGTCAACTCCTATGCAGTCTAAACAGTTTCCAGTTTAGCATAGGAAATTCATTCATTGGCGTCAGCTAAGCATGATTGACATTAGTCAGTCCAGAACTATCATTTTGGGCTGACTAATGAAGGATGCTGGATGCCGAGTTACAACTCTGGCAGCAATATAAAATATCCTAGCATGAGCAGAGTTGGGGAATTATTTCCAATGAATTATCTAGCCAAACTTCTGCAATTTAGCTTTCAATCTACTACAGTTTGCTAAGTAATGATTAAACCGCATGCAGCGTTATTCACTTAAGAATTTACCAGGAAATTACAAATTCTAGACCAAAATGGAAAAATAAGGGATTTCCAAATTGACTAATTTTTCTGGTCTGATTTGTACAATTTGTGAATAAGAAGCAAAATTGTAAAATTTAGGCCAAAATTGTTGGAAATAGCGTTTGTATACTCTTCAACACTTCAACACTATGAGAGGTTAGCTGTCGTACTTTTTCTAATTATCATTCTAAGGTTAAGCCCTGGGACATCCCTGGAATGTCCCACTGGTGTGCCGACTCAGATGTTTGAGTGACTCAACCTTGTGCTGAGTATCTCTTTCCTCTGGCTCTGTTTATTGGTTTAACACTTTATCTAGTTTGGTTATTTTAGCCTAGTACTGTTTGTTGTTTGGTATTTAGTACGTTTCACATTTTGTTTAAAGGACCACTAAACTCACCCAATCCACTTTAATGAAATGGCTTGAGTGTACTGATCCTGTCATTTTAACCAATCAAGGTAAAACACTGCCATTTTGATTAAATGTGAATATATAACCTTGAAGGGTTAAATACACCTCCTTTGGCAATTATACTGACAGCCACTGGAGGTGCTTCTATTGCTGAAATGACCAAGTAAAATGTGGTCACGTAACAGTCCCTATGGTGAAGCTTGAATGCACATGCTTCTCTATAAGCAACATTGAATTGAACCATTTGGGAGATGGAGAGGTGAGCAGCATCAAGGGACCCTGAGTGCTACAAAAAGGTAAATAAAATACTTTATTTTATTAGTTTTATGGAACAAAAGGGGGCTCTTAAACTAGGGACTGGGGCACTATAGCATTAGGAATACAGGTTTTTATCCCTAGCACATTTTATGATCCTTTAATATAATATTAGCAGAGTTATAAACCAATATATTATTTTGTTTACAGATATATTCTTTTTTTTTACTATTACATCTCATACCTTTCATTACAAAGTACAACAAGCACTACATTAAGATATACTTTATTGAGGCATGGTTTGGTGCCTGAACTGGATGGACACACGTTGGTGAAGCTCCCGATATTCAGGTGCCCAGGAGCATAAATAAGTGGTCTACTGAGCAATTAAACATGTAGAAACGTGTATTATGTTGCAGAGACAAAAAAGCAAAGCAGCTAAAGCAGAATGAGCGTCTTTCTGCTTGGCACGGACCACCGGAACAAAACCATGGGAAGGCTGCAGCCATCCTAAAGATGGCGACGCAACTCGATCCCGAGAAGGATCCTTATGGCCCTCGGCCTCACCTAGCTCTCTCTCAGAGGAAAGGCCCCTTACGGCAGCCACCATGCACCGTATGCTGGCCGAGCTCACAGAAACCTTATAGGCAAATTTGAAAACGCAGCTGCAGGCACTAGCGTCAGAGCTCTGCAAAGACATCACGGAAGTAGGCCAGCGCACATCTCAAATTGAACACAAGATGGACAATTTTGCAGAGGCCCACAACAGCTTGGCGGATAAGGTCCAGGAGTTTGAGACTGCCCTCAACTCCTATAGGCTTAAACTAGCAGACCTCGAACACAGGTCCAGGAGGAACAATATCAGTAGCTGTGGAGTACCATAGACGGTTACTCTCATGGATCTGTTCCAGGCCCTGCAGTTCACCCGGACCAGCTGATTGTAGACAGGGTACACAGGCTCAGATGCCCAAAACACCTTCTACCGACAGCCCAGAGAGATGTTATTGCCCGAGTTCAAGGAGCAACTGCTGAGAGCTAGCAGAACTTCAGACATGCCAGACCCCTATGGCCAGATAAAGATATTTGTGGACTTGTCTGCGGCAACGTTACAATTCCGAAAGAATTTGACACCCATTACATCCACGCTGCGGGATCAAAACGTCGCATACAGATGGGGATATCCTGCTAAGCTTCTAGTCCATCACAGAGAAGCCCTGCATGCCATCACATCCTTGGAACTGGGAATTACCAAATTGAAAGACTAGGGCCTCCCAGTATCAGCAGTGCAGCAGCATCAACCAGCTAAAGTTCCCAGAATGTCTCCAGAATGGACTTTAACCTGACATTAGAGATGGCTACCCGCCTCCACAAGGTTGGAACCTTATTGAGTATCCTTTATTGTGTGGAACCGCAGACTTTTAGGGTCCACAGGTACCGCAATATCCCCACTTACCGGTTCAATGTGTTTCTGGTTATGTTTAAGTTTTAACATGGTTGATTGCCATATATGGTTAACGCAATTGTTGTATCCACCATATTATATATGTTGCCGCTCAGTTGCTAAAGTTGATTGATCTATCCATTGTAATATTCAAGGTTTTTGTACCATGCTTTCACAATAAGTGGCTTCTGAGCCCTCTGCTACTTTAAGAAATTACAGTTTACCCTTCCACACAGGGTCCCTGTTCTTTGAGGAAGGTGCAACAAATAAAACACACGGACAAGTGTAATAAAAGAAATGCATTAGGTATAAAGATAATAAATTCACTGGTAATACATCAGATTTAATAAAAGGGTATTAAACATAGAAAAATCAACAAATGATAACATACAAATCACAGTGTATCGCAGAAGGATGGAATAATCACAACACTTGCCACAAATAGAATATCTCAAATATAATCAATTAAAGCAACCACAATATATATATTGATTAATAACTTGCATCAGAATAATAAACAGTTCATATACAAACTACAAAACAAAGACCACTCATAGATATATAGCAGTAAAGTCATTAACTATGTGCTCTATAGTATAATACACAGCACATATAAAGAATATGCAATAACTCAACCTGCTTTATAATCTAATACACAGCAAATATAGTGAGGTTAAACCAAACAACACACAATGATATAAAACAATACAGCATCACAAATATCACAGGAATCAACCAAGTATCACAGCCAAATATAGTTACCAACAGAGTGTAGATCTGTATATTGAAGTCTCCCCTGGACCTCTGCTTGGTAGTCACTCCTTGAAGTTCCTACCAGAACTGTTCTGTCTCTAGCCATTTTGGGCCTACATTTATACAGCTTTTTCTCTTTGAAGTTGTTCCTTCCATTTACCCATATCTTCCCTCCATCTACCTAAATTATCTTGGGGGCATGTGATGGGTTTGGGAGGATAAATTCCTTATTTCTTGTTTTTTGTAGGTGGTTCACAATAGAAGTAAACAGCTATTTGCTATTTAAATATAAGTTGGGAAAGACTTATTAACACCCTATTAATAACACGAAACTCAGGATGAACAAACTGGTCCAATATCCTGTTCTAAAGTATGCTTTGTTAACAGCAAGACAAAAAGCCTTTGATTTTGGAATTGATAACCCCAGCTGTCCCATCTACATTAACAGTTAGATCAAAGACTGTTTGTCCTGGAAGCTACACCACCTTGTTTTTCCTGATTTACATGGCACTTGTAACATCTCCTTTTGATATTAAAGGTCCAAAGATCAATCATACAGATGTGCATTCTATTTCTTAAATTTGATTTACCTTCTAATTTGATTCTAATTCATAATTTCTTACACTACTACTTCACCCCAGAAGTGTTACAAAGCTCTGCACTACCACCTTCGCTTATGATGAAGCATACCCCCTCAACCCCCACCCTATGTGACCAAGACCTTCTCGGTGCACCTTGGCTCCCAGTTGGGGAGCTGTATGGGGCAAGTTGCACATGAGTTTACTACCCCCTCCAAGTTTATCCCCTATGTGTATCCCCCTACCCCTCTGTTCCCAATGAACGCTGACTACCTCTCTTAAAACCCACCAACCAAAGTAGACCCCCAGGGTTGCCTCCAAGAGTATGGATCTTAGGATACTGAATGCCAGCAGATGACCCGAGAGCCCTTTACAAGAGCCCTCGTCACTTTAGGCTTGTGACAAAATGAAATAAATTTCTTATAACATAAAAGGCTTAAATACCCCGGGTAAACGCAGGCTGCTCCTCCGTGACTTAACTAAACAAAGAGTAGAAATAGCCTGCATACAAGAAAGGCATTTTAGAAACAACCACACCCCTGCCATATTCACCAAGAAATACCCCACACAAGTTCACTCACTAGCCAGCACTAAATGAGTCTCAATCTTGATCCATAAAGACGTTGCCTACACTACCCAGCGACTATATATAGACCCTGGTGGAAGATATGTCATTTTGGTAGGCCAGTTCAACAGCGCCCAACTGACACTATTTGCAACCTTCACAAATGAGAATCCCAGAAACTTCCTGCAATCACTCCTGGCAAGGTTGACAAATATAGACAAGGTAATATAATTCTGTGCTGGGACTTTAATTGCATTCAGTCACCCACATTGGATACCACCGCTACCCACACAGGTGCTAGCAAATGGAGGTCTGAAACCCCAAAAAGATCATTCACTAAACTGTTAGATCAATATTTCCTATATGACACCTGGAGAATGTTGCACCTGATAGACAGGGACTACTGTCTATACGCGTATAGACACCTTCTTTCTAGACAGAACACTCCTATCCCAATTGACACACTGCAACATTGGGGAAATAACTTGGTCAGACCACAGCCCGGTCTATCTAGACCTCCTAAACGCTTTCCAATTTAGAGGCCAGGGTTCCTGGTGGCTAAATGACTCCCTGCTGTTGAATGCATCCTTTGCAAACGAAATCAGGTGGGCATTACAACAAATGCGAGCAAAAAGATTTTGCATAAGGCAGTGGTACGAGGACTATTCATAAGACGCTCTTCCTTTCTAAAGAACCAACACCTGACATACCTTCTAGACTGTCATAGACAAATTGCCATAGCTACTAAGCAAAACAAAACCCCTGACCTAGCAGCAAACCTCAACGCATTCTAAGCATGCTTGAAGACACTCAACGCGGAGAAAACCAAAAACCTACTCCACAAACTGAGAGCCAACGTGTACCATAATAGTGGTAAAGCCACTGCATACCTGGCCTCCAGGCTCCGTAACAAATACTCCAGTCCCAAAATTGCTCACGTGATAGGAGGTGACGGTCTTAAGAAAGTTACCCCAATGATATTAGTCAGGAATTTGCAGGTTTTTACTCTACATTATATAACCTGAAAAGCATGAGAGATACCTATATTGCTAGTACAGAGGACATTGCCCAGTATTTAACTCAAGCTAATCTCCCCAAGATTACCCAACTACAGATGACAGAACTGCTCAAGCCTATTGAGCTTACAGAAGTATTAGAAATTATAACAAATTTGCCAGTAGGAAAATCACCAGGAGCGGATGGGCTAACGGATGCCTACTATAAAAAATATGTGCAGGATCTAGCCCCACACCTACTAAAAGTGTTCGCATAGCCACTGCCATGGGGTCTCTCCCACCTGAGATGCTCCTTGCTACCATAGTAACCATTCCCAAACCTGACAAATCCCCAGACTTATGTAAAAACTATCGCCACATATCGTTACTGAACACAGATGCAAAAATCTATGCGAAGATTTGGGCGAACAGGCTTTATAGCATTTTGCCGTCCCTTATTGGACATGATCAAACAGGGTTTATCCAGGGCAGGCAGGGATTGGACAACACTAGGAAGCTGTCACTGATCTTGGAGGGCCTCATGGGGACTAGGGGCCCTCCAAGTCTATTGCTAGCGTTAGATGTGAAAAAGCCTTTGATCACCTCAGCTGGCCCATCTTACAACAAGCGATGCATGCCTACGGGTTTCCACCACAATTAGTGAGGCAAATTTTTGCCTTATACTCAGGTTCAATGGCCCAGGTATTGCAGGTGGGATTCATGTCCAGCCCATTCACCATCACCAACGGGATGAGACTGGGGTGTCCCCTGTCCCCCCTGTTGTATGTATTGGCCATGGGGCCCCTACTACAGAATATCAGGGACTACTCCAACATAAAGGCTATAAAGGTGAAAGGAATAGAATATAAAATCAGCACCTTTGCTGACAACATTTTGCTCTATATTTTGGACCCCACTTAAACCCTCCCCACCTCATGCAGACAATAAAAGAATATGGTTTGCGCTCATGCTACTCTTTGAATAGTACAAGAACACAAGGAATAGGCCTTTCCTCCTCAGTGATGGACATGTTGTATACAATTTATCCCTTCAAATGGAGACGAGACATTATCAAATATTTATGACTACTAAAATTCATTTATTGTTCACGAGATATAGAAAAAGAAAGAGGAAAAAATACCACTATTGCCAAATATACAGATTAATGATCCCTCTGTGAATTCATCTATGGTAAATGTAACAAAATGTCATAATATATACATCTTAATTATTTACAGTTATATACAGTCCATGAACATCATATGAATGAAGCTGAAAGTTCATATATATTCAGGTGGATCCACCACTAATTGATATTCTGTTTAAACAGAAAGATTATAGAGAAAAGGGCAAAAAAGGACAAAAAACTGAAAAAAATGAAAAAAAGAGAAAAAGATAACAAAGAAGAAAAAGAAAAAATAACAAAAGAAAAAACTGAAAAGTTCATAAGAGGCCAAAAAATGCATTGCTTATTTGATGAAATTGGTTGGATTTCACCACAGTTTATGGATGCTTTAGATATGGACTGTGGTGTGAAGTCTGTTCACTTATAGCCAGATTTCCAATTGACTGCTGAAGAGAGAGATTCAAAAGTATTCCTTTGGCATCTCCGTCCCGAGTGCGCAGCCCAGCCACACACTAGAGACGTGACACAGGAGACCGGAATTGGAGAAGGGACCCGATGGGGATTGCCTCTGATTACTGTTCATCGGACAAAGGGATACTTTTGAACCTCTCTATTCAGCCGTCAATTGAACATCTGTATATAAGTGAACAGACTTCACTCCACAGTCCATATCTAAAGCATCCATAACCTGTGGTGAGATCCAACCAATTTCATCAAATAAGCAGTGCATTTTTTTGCAGTCTTTTGAAATTTTCAGATTTTTCATTTTGTTATTTTTTTATTTTTTTCCTTTTTATTTATTTTTTT